GTCAGTTGAAATGAATAAAAGCAAAAAATCGCCAGTTTTAAGACAATAAAAAGTTTTCCTCCCTACGTATTGAGCCAAATAAATCTATTGTCCCAAACTTAGCAAAGAATTAAATAGTTCCGTTGATAAATAAGTCGACGGACACTGATTTGCTTATTTTAGTCATTACAACATCTAAATCAACAGCTAATTTATGTTAAATTACTTTTTAGATGAATTATCATTATTTTATGCCTTTCATTTTGAACTAGTTTCATTTTGATTGTTATGCTCACAATATTCGGATTGTTCTGCTCTCCGACCATTTTCAGGTGTTTGTTGTCTTACTCATTAACACTCTCGGAATTTTAAACCGAACATTCATACCAGTGTTTATTAGCCATTTTTAATTCAGTGGCACTTGTACAATAAATAAAACTATGGGGTGCATTTTAAATTTTAATAAGAAAAACTTAGTCAATGAATCTTAAAATAGGAAAATAATAAAGAAGCCTCCAGAAATAAGCATTTATTTTTAAGACACCACATTGCATATTTCAGTAAGCTTGCGGGAAACCTTTGCTTGACGTGCTTTTGGTAATTTATGAGTGTTCAGTCTTATATGTGATAAACACACTCTCATTAGCATTTCAAAAGCAAAGTAGCGCTAAAGTTTTCATTTAATGAGATTTATGAAAAATCGGCTATTTTATGACAGACTAGCAGTAGAGCCCGGCGTTGCCCGGGGATGTAACAGTAAGAGATAGATCAAGTATCGACCATCATAAAGACTGAAAAATAAAATTGACAAAGATTATTGTTTAAGGTTGACGGACACGCATGTCTTAATTATTATTTTTGTTTTTTTTTTTGAATTGGTCAAACCCAAACTCAAACAAAACATTGTTTTCAATCGTTATGAGTCTACCGATTGAATAGAATTTTATTATAAACAATTGTCTCGTAAATGGAATTTTTAAAGCATTCTGAATGTAAAATAAAGAAAAAAAAAATTGTGCAGACAATAAGAAACACTACCAAAAAAAAAAAGTGAAGTTTTGTGGAAATCGGTTGAAAATGTAGGAAATCCGATCCAATATATAAACGAACAGACACACACACACACACACACACACACACACACACACACACACACACACACAAAACACAAAACCTGGGTTTTATAATAAGTATGATTAAATTTCCTTGAAGAAGGCAAAAGGGAAAGGATTATCCACTCCTTCGCAAAGATAAAGGGATTTAGCATCCAGTTTAAAATATAAAATGACAAAGACTTGACTTAAATATGGAAGCCATGTACTTAGTGCTTCTAAATTTTTAGAAACAACGATCTTTTTTAAAAATATAAAAATAATTCATAAATTACTCTTCAGTCAACCTGGAGCGTACCTGGATACATTTCAGGGCGAATAAGGGCGCCCGGGAGCACCGGTTGAGAAACGCTGCTTTATATAATCCTTGAACGTACATTGTTCACATTCTGCTTCAAAATGCTAAGGGGAGATAACTTATACTAATTAACCCTTCACATTTGTGGCGCTAGTCCATTTTCTTCCTTTCTATTTTCATGAATTTCAGGCACTTTTATATACAACATAGATTCTATGATTGAGCCGCGGAGAAGCAATTTAACATACATTTCACAAGAGAAAGATCAAGTTTTACCTGAGACTAGAGAAACGACCCCCTCTCTCTGTGTCTCTGTCTGTCTGTCTGTCTCTCTCTTAATCCACCATATTCAAGTCCATTGTATGTGACGGTCTTATCTCTTTGGCACTTGTCAATGTTTAAGCAAGTAACCGTTTTTTCGGTTACTGCTTGGGAAGGAAAGATAGTTGTAAGAGAATGGCTTCCTAGTTGATCACTTATCCACTATCATCTTTCCCAATGGTAGTGGTTTACCAGTAAAGAGACATGTTAGTCTGTCAGTTAGACAAAGCAAAGATAGAACCGGAGTTCTGATTTCTCATGTCCTATAAGCATACATAGCAAGGCACTTAAAACTTCTTTCTCATAGACAGAACGAATAATACTTGCCACTTCTTCTACTGAATAAAAACGAAAAACCGCCAGTTTTAAGAGATCTAAAGTTTTCCTCCCTACGTATTGAGCCAAATAAATCCATTCGCCAAACTTAGCGAAGAATTAATAAATAGTGGATACTAAGTCGACGGACACTGATTTACTGATTTTAGTCATTACACTTCATTGTGACTTCACGCAATATAAAGTGTTTGATATGCGTCTGATAAAAACTCGTTTTAAAAAAGGTGAAATCGATGCAAAATTAACCTACCATGGTATTAAATAATATCTGTGAAAATGGAAACATTATAACATAATTGAAAAAGTATCCTCAAAGGTTCATATCATTCATGCGAAAAGATTTTCATTTCAACTTAATAAATCACGATATGACTTTGTATGTAAATTAGAGTGCAAATCCAAATAGGCACATAAAAACATACTCGAATAAAATTACTTAGAATGCATTCTTTGTAGATCTGTTATGCGTATTATGAATTTTTAGAATGTGGTAGGATTGCTACTACAAAACATGACGGTGAGCAATTGGCTCATTTGAATGCCGCATTGCATCTGAAAATAAATTTGGATTACGTAGTTGAGTGATTACTGCGTTACATGACCGCACCCGTCCTCAATCTGCAAATTGGTACAGCAAATGATCCTGAATCGGGTGAGGGAGTGGGGAGGGAGATTTATTTCATGCATTTTTTTTATTTTCCATACAACTTCAGACTATCACTTATTTCATTCAACGCAATAATTCTTGTCTGCTTAGTGCGATTTCAAAAATGACTTGAAACAAAGAAAAGCTAATTGAAATGCTATTTACACGAAAACACCTGAAACAATTAATAACGATGTTATGTGCACGTATAAAAATGAGTTCACAATAACGTTATGTGAATAAAAATGATTTTATAACAGTTATTTACACGAATAAAACTGAGTGCATAATGATGCTATATAAATAATATAGACAGCATCATGATGCTATTTGCCCGAATAAAATAAGTACAGAATAATGTTATCTAATTAAAAAAGACATCATCATGATGCTATTCGCACGAATAAAACTGAGTGCATAATGATGTTTTATAAATAAAAAATACTACATAATGATGCTATTTGCCCGAATAAAAATGAGTACATAATACTGTTATCTAAATAAAAAGATAGCATCATGATGCTATTTGCCCGAATAAAATGAGTATATAATATAGTTATCTAAATAAAAACGACAACATCATGAAGCTATTTGCCCGAATAAAAATGAGTATATAATATAGTTATCTAAATAAAAACGACAGCATCATGATGCTATTTGCCCGAATAAAAATGAGCACATAATGATGTTATAGTTATATAAATAAAAAAAGACAATATATTGCTATTTACACGAATAGAAATGAGTATATAATGATGTCATATAAATAAAAATACATAATGATGCTATTTACACGAATAAAAGATTTATAAACCTGAGACTGAAACCTTTTCAACCCCATTTCAATCATTTTTGTTGCCTGTTTCTTTTCTCTACTAAATAGCGAAGAAAAACATTTTAATGAAATAAAGCTAAATTATTTTTTTAAGTAAGCTATAAAAGAAAAAAAATGCTTTGTCAGTGACATAGCCTCGTGTTTCCCAGCAACGTAAATTGTTGTTCAAGTATAAATAAAAACCAGAGTTTCGAATGATGGTTTTCAACGCAAGCATATACCCCCACAGAACTAACTGGCACAACACAATCTTTCTACCTACATTTTCTTAGTTGGTTTTATTATGTCCAAAGACGAAATTAGTAAATAGATATGAACAGAAACCTATTCTTAAAAAGGAAGACGGGAAAATAGAATTATTTTGTTTCCTTTTCGCTTTTATTCTTAGCTTCTGTTATATATGTGTTCTGTAGTTCCTTTAATTGTCAGTTTCTAGAGGAGGTGCTGGAAAATTTTAGCACCCCCCCCCCTAAATAAAAGTGAAGATGTTTGTAACGAACTGTTCGTAGAGTGTAGTGGACAATACTTATTTTCCGAGAAAAAGTTGGTAACCAGTTGAAACAGTATCTCGTTACTTGAACCGCAACACTTGTCTTCCACTAGATGTTTCACAAAGCAACTTCGCTTTGACTGATTCAAATTGAGTATTACCGACATGAATTAACTGCCGACCCTTAGGTAAACGGGAGTGGTAGGAGATGTAACTAACCTTTCCTTATTCCGTTTGTTCTTTGTTTATTTATTTTTCTTCTTTCCTTTTCTTTCTTTTTTCTTCATTGCTTGATTCTTTGTTTCTTTCTTTTCTCCGTTACTGTTGCACCGCCATTTTTTTTTTACTGTTCTTTTGTTTTAAAGTTTCACTTCCATCACCTACCAGGCTTTTGTTTTAGTAATTAAAAAAAAACAAAAACATTTCGCTCTCGTATTGCTTACATAATTTTGACATTTTTCTTTGTTTTTACGCTTTCTTATGTGAATTCCATTTTTTAATCAGTTATTGCGAATATAAAGGCTTAGAAAGATAAGATCGTCATTCTTTTTGAGTTGGAGATTCGAATTAGTTCCCGCCAGAGAATTAATTCCGTATGAATTTAAATCGAAATAACACGCTTGTCAGGCAAACAAAAAGAAATGGCCGAGAGAGGAATACTTTTTCAAATCCGCAGATACAAAAGACACTTTCTGAAATGAATGTTTTTTTAAAAGGTTCATTCCCTTTGTTGACGTACTTTAATTAAAACCAGAATATTGTCTAAATATGCTATGAGCAAAGATCATATTCCTTAATAAATTCTTGAACTAATGAGTGCTTCAACAACTTTAAGATATACAAATCTGTTTAGTTTTATTATACACATTATCTATTTATCTATCTATCTATCTATCTATCTATCTATCTATCTATCTATCTATCTAACCGACTGTTTTCGTCGCATTCAACAACTTCTTATTTAGTTATTCTGAAAATTAAATATGCACATCTATCTATCTATCTATCTATCTATCTATCTATCTATCTATCTGTTTTCGTCTCTTTCAACAACTTAGTTATTCATCAGTCTGAAAATTAAATATCTATCTATCTATCTATCTATCTATCTATCTATCTATCTATCTATCTATCTATCTATCTATCTATCTGTTTTCGTCTCTTTCAACAACTTAGTTATTCATCAGTCTGAAAATTAAATATCTATCTATCTATCTATCTATCTATCTGTTTTCGTCTCTTTCAACAACTTAGTTATTCATCAGTCTGAAAATTAAATATCTATCTATCTATCTATCTATCTATCTATCTATCTATCTGTTTTCGTCTCTTTCAACAACTTAGTTATTCATCAGTCTGAAAATTAAATATCTATCTATCTATCTATCTATCTATCTATCTATCTATCTATCTATCTATCTATCTATCTGTTTTCGTCTCTTTCAACAACTTAGTTATTCATCAGTCTGAAAATTAAATATCTATCTATCTATCTATCTATCTATCTATCTATCTGTTTTTTCGTCTCTTTCAACAACTTAGTTATTCATCAGTCTGAAAATTAAATATCTATCTATCTATCTATCTATCTATCTATCTATCTATTTTTCGTCTCTTTCCAACAACTTAGTTATTCATCAGTCTGAAAATTAAATATCTATCTATCTATCTATCTATCTATCTATCTATCTCTATCTATCTGTTTTCGTCTCTTTCAACAACTTAGTTATTCATCAGTCTGAAAATTAAATATCTATCTATCTATCTATCTATCTATCTATCTGTTTTCGTCTCTTTCAACAACTTAGTTATTCATCAGTCTGAAAATTAAATATGTATCTATCTATCTATCTATCTATCTATCTATCTATCTGTTTTCGTCTCTTTCAACAACTTAGTTATTCATCAGTCTGAAAATTAAATATCTATCTATCTATCTATCTATCTATCTATCTATCTCTATCTATCTATCTATCTGTTTTCGTCTCTTTCAACAACTTAGTTATTCATCAGTCTGAAAATTAAATATCTATCTATCTATCTGTCTATCTATCTGTTTTCGTCTCTTTCAACAACTTAGTTATTCATCAGTCTGAAAATTAAATACCCATCTATCTATCTCTCTATCTATCTATCTATCTATCTATCTATCTATCTAACCGTCTGTTTTCGTCTCTTTCAACAACTTTTTTTAGTTATTCATCAGTCTGAAAATTAAATATGCCCATCTATCTATCTATCTATCTATCTATCTATCTATCTATCTATCTATCTATCTATCTATTATTATTAAAATATTCTTACGTCATTGCAATGTTTGTGGTTATCTTCCAGTAAGATTACACTGCATCTCAATCATTTCGATGAATTAATAAGCGGTTTGTAGAAATACGGTGAAAGAAAAATGTTTAATAACAATATATCTTTTTTAAATTTCAAAATGTTTAATTGTTAATGATTTTAGAGAAATTGATTCATCTACATATATTTATGGGAACTTTATTAATAGTTCCCTTAAATATATATACTCCTCCCCTCTTGGTATAATCACAGAGATCATCGAATTATAATGAGTATTGTTGAAGATATAGCTACATTGAGACTGTAACGTAAAAGAAAAGACTTTCAGAATGATGGAAACGTAAACTAAAGTAAGTTATAACGAAACAACCAATTTTGACTATTTCTCAGATCTTTGAAAATGACCGAATTTGAGGGAGACAAAAGTTGTAGAATACTTCGCAAATTGCGATCTGTCAAGAAATATTCTAGGCAAACTCTTCTTAGTGAAGCAAATATTTTAAAGCATCAAAATTGGCCCAAGAAATAAATGCAAATTATAATTTTTACGAGCAAGATTCGGGTGACACACGGTGGATATGATGGATAGGTTAAAGGATGCATTTTATCCGATACAAATGTGTTTGCGGTTAAACGAATGCAACAAAGAGGCGGCATTGTGATGATATGGGCTGAATTGTCAACCAAACCATTATTGAACCATTTAAAGTCGATGAAGACTTTAAACTGAACAGTGCTCACTGTTCGTATTTCATGGACGTGAAGTATGTATTTATGCACGTCCATGAATTGTTAGTAGCACATTATGCTCTAAATTTCATTGGTAATCTTCAGAATTCCTGATAAATGGTCAAAGCCTCCTCCGGTGCCAGATGCAGTAAAATAGCCCCACAACATTATGAATCCCCTCCACCATACTTACCTGTTGGTATGGTGTTTTATTCCTTACAAGCTTCATTTTACCGTCTGTAAACATATGGTTGGGAGGCATCTCCAAAAGGCTTTATTTGTGTTTCGTCTATCCACAGAAAAATTTCTCCAGAATGATTGGGGTTTGTCCAGGTACTCTTTGACAATGTTCAATCGTTCCGTTTTATGTGTTTTCTTCAATAACAGTGTTTTTCTTAATCTTCGACCAAAAACCGACACTGACAGTTTACCAAGGGTAATTCTAATTTCTGATTTATCATAAGTGAGTTAAAATAGTTTTTACTCATTTTTTGTCCATTTTTAAAGGATATCAATATGAGTGTTTTAGCAATCATTCAGTTTTTTTTTTATTTTATTTTCCCTTCTATTGCGTTTATACAATTTTTTGTCATTGGTGCATTTCTTTATTAAGGAGTTGTCAAGAAACCAACGCCTTTTTTTCACTAGATTCGTTTTATTTTTTTCAGATGATAATCTACATTATGTACAGATATAATTATAACCAGTACTATATATATATATATATATATATATATATATATATATATATATATATATATATATATATATAAAATAAAAGACAGACGACGTTAAGCTTCCATGTAATAAGCTAAAAATAGGAAACTGAAATGATACATATGACATACTCATATCCTCTCTCCCACCTCACTCCCTCACTTCGTTAATTTTACGTATACTTGATGAGGTCCGTCAAAAAAAAATCCTCCTCAGGTCTACCCATACGGATTACCTAAGTTTGCATAAACTATATATATATATTATAAATTAATTGATTTAAAATATGTTTTTTCCGCTACACAGTTCTAACCAAAATTTGCTTGATGATGCTAATGGAACTAATGTCTTTAATTTAATTACAAAAATTATTAAATTCAAAGCTTTTAGCTTCCATTTTTGAAACATGGTTAGAACTGTGTAGTGGAAAAAACATATTTTACATCAATTAATTTATAATATTAATGCTCTGTAAATTAACATTGAGCACTATTTTGTAAGATTAAAAATATCTATAAGAACACCGGATTATATATCTTACTGTTCTTTCGTTATATATATATATATATATATATATATATATATATATAAAGACACAAAAGAAAAACTTATATTAACCGACGCGTTTCGTCCTCTAAAAGGATTTATCTTGATAAAGACCCTCAGAAACTTTTCCTTTAGTCATTATTCATATATATATATATATATATATATATATATATATATATATATATATATATATATATATATATATATGCATGTATATATATATTATATTCATTTAAATATCTTTTATAATGTCTCTTACCTTTCTTATAATCGATGGTAATCATTATATATCGATAAGATTTCACGTTAATGATATTTATTTTAATAGCTATATAATGATTGCCATCGATTATAAGAAAGGCAAAAGAGGTTTTAAAAGGTATTTTAAATTAATTAAGTAAAAGGAGCTCAACGATGACAATTGCAGAAAAGTGGAACGAACATCACAGAAGAATAAAAAAAGAAATTTAAAGCATTGGCAAGATAAGAACAAGAAATAAATTTCTTCAAGAAAAGCATAGAAAGACAATTGGGAAATATCGAAATGATAATATTTAGTAATATTTTTTGTCCGACAAGAAAATATTTACAGAATCTGAATGTAAACAAAAGGAAAAGATATAGAATATTAAGAAAATTGACGAAATACATGAAAGCCAAAAAGGTTCTGGCTTTAAGTAAACCTTACATGGAGGAATATACAAGTTGGACGAATATGTACATGAAAACTGATAGTGGTGAATAACCAGCTGTATTGGATGTCCCTGATCGCTGGAGTAATTAATATTATTTACAAAGCATAACTTGGTTTTGACACACGTTTAAGGCATTCAATAAGGTTCGAACTCGCTGCGCATTATTAATAATCAACCACACAACGCCAACAATAATTCCACGTCAAAGTTAGGTTAGAAGTTGGCCCCTTCTTGAAAATAGTGAAACAACACGATTTAGAAGACAGGAAGTGGGTGGTGTAATGTTATATGACTAACAATGTAGGCGTTAAATTCATCTGTCTATTTATCTAGCTCAATCTGTTCATATCTATCTATCTATCTATCTATCTTAGTGTTTTCATATCTATCTATCTATCTATCTATCTATCTATCTATCTATCTATCTATCTATCAATGTTTTTTATCTATCTGTCTATCTATCTATCTATCACAATGTTTTTCATATCTATCTATCTATCTATCTATCTATCTATCTATCTATCTATCTATCGCAATGTTTTCATATCTATCTATCTATCTATCTATCTATCTATCTATCTATCTATCTATCTATCGCAATGTTTTCATATCTATCTGTCTATCTATCTATCTATCGCAATGTTTTCATATCTATCTATCTATCTATCTATCTATCTATCTATCTATCTATCGCAATGTTTTCATATCTATCTATCTATCTATCTATCTATCTATCTATCTATCTATCTATCTATCTATCTATCTATCGCTGTGTTTCATATCTATCAATCTATCTATCTATCTGCACTACGAATGTATCAAGTCTTATCAAATGGAATAAACAGCTGTTAATAAATGGGTTCGCAAAAATGGTTAAGACAAAGAGAAAACCAAATAACGATCATAAAAAAGAAGAAGAAGAAGAAGAAGAAGAAGAAGAAGAAGAAGAAGAAGAGAAGAAAATGGAGGCGGGAAAACGCAGTCAATGATCAAACGTTCAGGAAAAGAAACAGATAGCTGAACTAATAAAGAACTGACAACATCTAAATGTAGATGAATTGGAGTCGTATATTTAGATTAATGATAATTAGTAGATGAAAAGGAAACAAGAAACGAAGTAAATGAAAGAACAAAACAAAATGAACAGATAAAACTAAACACCTCAATAAAAGGAGAAGAGATAAAAAAAAAACAACTTTTGTTTTTCGAGGGGGCTAAACTTAAAATCATGGCGTATCGACGGTACGACGCAAAAGTGGGCAGGAAAAAAAGTCATCTTTCTTCTTCTAATTTTTATTTCTTTACCTTTTCCTCTAGGATTCTTCTTTTATGTGATATGGCTTTTTGGGTACTCGCTGGTACGGTAAGGTGTGGAGCGAATAATATGGGTAACGATCGTATGAAACAATGTCATGCCTGACTGAGCGAATCGGCAGCATTCCTATTTTGACTTAGGCTCCAGGAGTTAAGATGTCATTAAATGACAAACGATGTGTGTTTTGTTGTTGAGACCGTCGTCGTCTTCTTCAGGCCAGGAACATTCCGTCTTTCTGACGTGACTTTACTTATTCCTTCTTTTTTCTTATTTAGCCCGCCTTTAACATGAACTTCAACACCTCCGAAATTCCTTAAGATCACAAGGATTTCTTCTTTTCACAACAAACAAATGATAAAAGCCCGGAAAATGTAAACAAGAACGAAGAGAAGAAATAAAGAGAAAAGTAAAATAAATAGTCAACGATAATAAGTAATATTTCGGGTGAAAAACTGGGCTAATTCTTATGAAAACTTGCAGTACGGCTAATGCCGATATTAAATTAAATTACATTGATTTTATATATATATATATATATATATATATATATATATATATATATATATATATATATATATATATATATATATACAGTGAAATAAATATTCAGTGGGGATTACACATGAAAGATTGTATTTTTATAAATGTAAAAAGCCTTAAATAAAACAAATCTCGGTACAATTTATGTATAAAGACATATACTATTACAAAATAATAATAAACTTAATTAATTCTTATTCTAACAGAAAGTAATGCATTTTTTTAAAAATTCTAACTGGTGAAAAAAGTATTCGTACAAATCAATTATTAGAATAAAATAATCAATTAATTATGAAAAAAGTATATTCTAGAATGTTCCAGTAATGTTATCAGTAATTATAGTTAACGCTATTAGCCATTATCAGAACATTCTGTAATTTCTAGTCTTACGAGAAGGTTCTAATAATGCCTAAAGGTAAAGAATTGACTATTTCACAAAAACAACACATTTTGTCTCTTTCGAAAGATGGGAACAGTTACAGAACTATTTCTAACAACATGACTATTCCTTTTACTACAATTGCTTTGTTCATTGCAAGGTTTAAAAGCGTCGAAAACCAAAGACGAACAGGTGCTCCAATGACGATTTCTCTAAGATTAGCAAGGATATTAGGACACCAGATCCAACAAAATCCACAGGTTACCCGAGAAGAGCTGCAGGAACATCTGCGGGCATTAGGGATTAAAGTAACCAAGCGTACAATAAGTAATGAACTACACAAAAACAGTCTGAAATCACGCATCCCAAGGAAGACTCCACTCCTCTTGAAACGGCACAGAGATGCTAGGCTAAAATTCGTTAGAGAGCATAAGGATAAAGAATATTCGTTTTGGGAAAAAGTACTATGGACAGATAAAACTAAAATAGAGTTGTTTGGTCATAATTATCGAAATCATGTGTGGAGGAAGGACGGTGAAGCCTACTTACCAAATAACACATTGCCAACTGTAAAGTTTGGTGGTCGCAGTATCATGATCTGGGGCTGTTTTTCTGCAAAAGGTGTTGGCAGAATATCAATAATAGATGGCAAGATGAATGCCGAAAGATACCAGAAAATCCTGCAAAACAATTTAATTCGTTCTGTTGAGAGACTTCGGCTACCTCCTGATTGGGTTTTCCAACTGGATAATGATCCTAAGCATACCGCTAGATCTACAAGGAAATGGTTAACTGGAAGTAACGTTGATGTCTGGCAATGGCCAAGTCAGTCCCCAGACTGGAACCTAACCGAGAATTTATGGCGATATTTGAAAATTCAAATTGGGAAAAGAGCACAAACAAATATCATGAATTTGAAGACAATATGCCAAGAAGAATGGGGCAAAATACCACTCAATGTGTGCAAATCATTAGTTGAGACGTATAGGATTAGACTGGTAGCTGTTGAACTCAATAAAGGATATTCCACAAAGTATTAAATTAAGTTAATATGCTTTTCTTGTTTTGTACGAATACTTTTTTCATCAGTTAAAATGAAAAAAAAATGCATTAATTTCTGTTAGAATAAGAATTAATTAAGTTTATTACTATTTTTTAATAAAATCTATCTTTACACATAAAATGTATCAAAATGTGTTTTAGTTAAGGCCTTTACATTTATAAAAATACAATTTTTCATGTGTACGAATATTTATTTCCCCCGACTGAATATATATATATATATATATATATATATATATATATATATATATATATAGTAGCTGAGCACTCGTACCCGAGGATGGCTGTCTACTCGCGCGACTAGCTAATCCCTGTTGCAGACGACTGCTCATGTACATTTGTGTTGCTTAAACATCCAAAGAGCCCACCTGTGGTTTATACTGCAACTATGCTGAGTGGACATTAGTTACAGTTTCTGAGAGAGAACGCGTTATGTAGCGTGATCAGCTGTCTGAACGCTCAAAGCCTCAGTCACAATGACTTGTTACTTTGTGCTAGCACAGCCATCGACGGCTCCCAAGGGTTCCATCTACCCAATTTCATCGATGGAAGAAAACATCGACGATCATTAAGAGGTAAAATTTGTTCCACATGAAATTTAAGGACAGGTTTCTAAGTCATAGGCACTTTCATGCCAGTTGGTATTTTCCTAGACTAGTTGCTATCAATAACAAAGCCCCAGAATTATTGATTTTTACTCGGAAGGCCCGGGTATTACTGCCGTACAATCACTGCCGACTCTGTAGGTAGCATCTGAGACGAAAAATTAAAAGCGAATCGAAATATATATATTTTTTTTTTTTTTAAATTTTGATTCGCATTTATTTTTTCGTCTCGAAAACCTGAATTTTACCAAAAACAAAATAATTTCCATGCCTGAGGATGACTGAATGTAAAGTTGAAAGACCTTGCGTATTAAAGAAAGACGTTATACAGTATCATAACATTCATCGAGAGATTTGTAATTTAATGCACATTTAAAATTTTGTTTGAGAAAGGATTTCACCATTTTATATCATTAATTTTACTAATTTACTTTTTGTATGAATAATTCATAGTAATATAAATTGAACTGCACCACATATTTGATATATATATATATATATATATATATATATATATATATATATATAATGGCTTGCAACTCTTTTTCGAGGATATCCGTCTAACAATCCTTATTGCAGACGCACGCGCAGGCACATTTGTGTTTGCTTAACACCTACAGAGCCTATCTGTAGTTTATACAGCTGAACTTAGTTACAGTTTCTGCGAGAGAGCGTGTTATCTAGCGTGATCAACAATTTGAACCCGATGACTTGTGGCTTTGTGCTAGCAGAGCTATCAACGCCCCTCAAGAGTACCATCCACCCAATCTCACTCACAAGGCTTGGGTCAACACGTGGTATGGTTTTCAGACCCTTTCCTGCGAGCGACCTTGATCCATTCCGATAACATCCGATATATATATATATACATATATATATATATATATATATACTATCAGCATGGCCAGGCGTTGCCCGTGCTTGATTCAAAAATCGTACGACTAATACAGCAATCGCTATCACTTGACTTAAAATATTTTTGCCCTTCCTTGCCTTTAAAGGAGTGCCCTTTGTCGTGCTGATGTTGCTACATGCCTTACTTCTTGCCTATCTCACACTGCGAATTTTTTCTAAGCTTTATACTAACCATTAAATCTGTTACGGAAAAAGGATTAAACAAAATGAACACAAAACGATCAGCTTTAAAAAAGGACTCGTAACTGGAAAAACCGAATGAAAAAAGAATGTTAACAACAAATACTTTTACACACCCAACCCAGTTCTGCGTAATCAGAATCAACGTTGAGTTTAAGCAAGCGAATGAGCCAATTGGAGTAATGTGCCATGCAGTTTTAAATTTTTCCCACTTGATGTTTTTGCATACGAGCATGCTAGTTAACATTCGTGTCAGTCAGATGTTGGCTCTCACGCTGGACTATAAAATCTTCCTGCCTATTCGTGGCAGCCAGCTATAGGCTCTAACTCTGGCCAGTAGAAAACGGCCGCAAACTACATGAAAATTGCCGTAGAAGCATGAAAAAATCGTTTATTTCCACTATCGATGGCAGTTGGAAAAGGCAAAGTCGGTCTTGGTCTTGCCACTAACTTGGAGCATGTGCATGTGAATTTTGGTGCAAATCCGTTTAAAATTGCGGCCGTGCATTCGACACACACACACGCACACATCCTGCCATATATATATATATATATATATATATATATATATATATATATTAAAACAATAGACATGAGTTAACGGTTTTTTGTCGACATCATCAAATTCATGGTTTGAATAATTAGCTAAAAACAAGCACACAATATAATAACTTTTATAATCCATAGCCCAAATAAATAGTTTAAATACCCTACAAAAAAGATAACCCTTTATGAAGTCGTCAAAAAACAAATATTACGGCAGTTTTTTTGTTTTTTTTTATATGCACAAATCCCTTTCATATAGAAATAAAATAAAAATATAAATAAATCTCCATAGACCCGTAAACCAAACTAGGCTAAAACATCTTCCGTTTCAATTTTAGACACCCCCACCTTTCCCTGACTTGACATCTATGAAAGTTACCCTATACTGATACTTATTATTAACACCCAACACACGCCGACCCAATTTAAACAATTCGTCCTAGCTATTACCATGGGAATTTTGATTTCAATTATTAAAACACGTAAATTTCAGAAATACGTTATTCCAAAAAAAATTTCGCTTGAAGATGGAACAGAGCTTACTTTAACTCAATTTAATTCAAATAATTATATTGAAGTTTTCGACTATTGTTTTGAAACATGAGACCTCTTATATCGCGAGTTGGAATCATATTTTTATATAAATAATTATATTTATGCTCTACTTTAGTATCGAGCACTATTTTTTAAAAATAATAACTAAAATACTAAGGAACTTTGGATTATTCACCTAACCAGTTCTTTTCTATTTTCTATATATTTTCACACACACACACACATATATATATATATATCGGACCCTCATACACCGAGTTCAAGAATTCAAGCAGATCAGTTCCGAAGAACCGACAACCCGACACCAACACATGAGATTTGATTATTATTGTGAAGTTTTGTGCATCTACATTTTTTGAAGGGCCGAATACAGAGACCTGATGCACTACGTGCCACATTGTCCCCAGACGCGACCCTTCGCAGTTTTGAATTCAGAATTGTCCTTCTTCTAGACCAGTTTCCATCAAAGGCTATAGTCCTCTATTTGCCCATAGCTGGAGGGATAAAAA